TGTGAAAGCGTAAATGAAAATGAATGTTAAAAAAAATTACAGCTTTCCCCCGAAGAACGCGTTACCCACTGAGTTGTATCCATCGCTTTTTTCGGCGGGTTTTCAACCAATCGCTGTGATTTTCTGCGAGTGACTTGGTCTCCTTTAACGCTACTCACAAGCATAACATCGAAAAAGCGGTGGGTAAAACTCAGTGGGTAACGCGTTCTTCGGAGGATAGCTGTACTCGACTCGGTTCACGTTGATGGTGTGGTATTTGCAATGCCCTGGTGAATGGTATGTGTTTGAGTGAGTCGATGGTCGCAGCTCCTGCCGGCCAGGACAGAGTCATTATTCTCTGTGGTCGACCAAGAAGCCGACAAAGTGTTGATTAATTTTCAATTTTATGACTACATAGGATGCGAATGCGAAAGATGAGTTCGACATCATTGTTGAAGCCGGACGATGGACACATTTTATCTCGTTCAAATATCTATGCTTTCCAAAGTTGTATTGTTGCAAAATTCAAATAAGAGTGTGAATTTCTGAAAATACTAGTTAAGCTGGTGTCTTTCCTCCAGAAAGCTTTATAAACCGTATGTAGCACAAATGTTTGATAAGCCGGTGCCGGTGGTGAAGTGGTAAGCGTGACTGCTTTTTCATCCCAATGGGTCTGGGTTTAATCCCAGCCGAGGTCGGTGGGATTTTTCTGAGGCATAAAAATCTCTGGTCACGTCTTCCTTCGGAAGGGAAGTAAAGCCGTTGGTCCCGGCCCATGTGTGTTGTGAATGTGTGCGATATCCTACACAGGTGTGGAAGCTGCCTTCCTGCACATTCGGTTGCCGTCAATGGATGTCAATCGATGTCCGTCGGTGATTGGCACTAGATTGCGGAACAGAGACCGACGTTAAATAAAGGAAAGAAGACAAATGTTTGATTTATGCATCAACATACACAGTTCGAAAAAAATTTGTAAATTTACGCTAAATCTAGCGTACACACAATTTAGCATAATGTAACATATGTCAAAAAATTTACATGTCCTTTTTTCCAATCATATAAAATTACAAACCATCATGGTGGAATTTTCAACGATCGTGTATTTTTTCTCCTATTGGTTTGGATTGTGTTGGTTTCTTTTTTTTTTCTTACTTGGGTACTTTGGGTTGACTTTGGAATTAATCCAAACCGATATCATTCAACATTGGAAGATCTTATGTGTAGAACTACACCGTTCGAAAAAAAAAGTAAATTTCTGCAAGATATAGCGCACACAAAATTAACGCTAGATTTGGCATAAATTTACGTGATATTTCGTGTAAATTTAAGCGCAATATCACATATATTAGCAATATTGTATACAAGCTGGTAAACGATTTCGCTGTTTATGCCAAGTATAACTCAAAGTTAAACGAAAGGAGATCAGTCCGTATCGTGCTCTCTTGCCGTGCGGATCTATTTGCTTTTTGCTGAAGGAAGTGTTACTACTACCTAAAGCTACAACAAATTTAAACAGCACTTTTCAGTGCTCAACCTGTTAAATTCCTACGTTGTTCAACTCTTATTCCTCTTCGATCCTTGTTCGAACCCTACCAGAGGTAATCCTTCTTGGATAACGATTGGAAAATTCCTCTTCGATCCTTCAGATTCTTATAGCAATCTGCTTGGAAGTCGATTTGGATAAAAAATTTACTGCCGCCATGGCACCTAAACGCAAAAGAAAGGGGCAAACTCTTGATCCCTCTTCTGATGAAATTAATTTAAGTAATCAATTTGATTTTCTCACTGATGATGAGAATGATCCATCATCCAAGAAAAATTCTAGTAAACTTTACCGGCTTAATGCCAAGAAGGAAAAGATTCCCCCTATTGTGATAACCACTTCCGATTTCCATGCTCTTAGCATGGAACTTTTGAATTTCGTGAAAGTTAAGTTTTCACTACAAATTGGACGTCGGGGTGAATGCCGTGTATTGGCTGATACCTTGGACGGATTTAAATGTCTTCTCAAGTATCTTACTGAGAAGCAGCACATTTTTTTTACTTACGACACCAAAACTGAACGTGTGTTCAAGGTTGTTATGAAAGGACTGCCCAGTGGTGAAACCCTGGATCAGATCAAAAATTAACTGGCAAAATTACTTCTAGATGTGCCACTCCAAGTGATCAAAATGAAAATGAAATCCCGTCCTGGCGATTTGAGCAACGGGATTTCCAATGATTTTTATTTAGTTAACTTCAAGTCTAGTGACATTAAGGCCTTAGAAAAAAAATAAGCCTTATGCTCCTTGTCCGAGTGAAGTGGAAGCACTTCAGGAAGACTGGATGAAATTTCCAAAACCTCACCCATTGCCGTAAGTGCCAGGGATGGGGTCACGGAACTAAAAATTGCTACATGCCAGCTAAATGCATGAATTGTGGTGATTCCTCTCACGCAAAGGACGACTGTCCTGTGAAGGAAGATCCTAAGAAATTTAAATGTTCCAATTGTGGTGAAAACCACAAATCCGATTTTTGGGAATGTAAGACTCACAAAGTGATCCTTCAATCTGGTTCTAAGCGACAAGTAGGAAACGCTCCACGTTTCCGACCAGGTACAAATTCCTCTGCTGTTAACAACGGTCAGCGAGGAACAAATTCTACATTCGTACCCGTAGGTATAAATATCACACCTGCTTCAAATTTTTCATCTATACCTACTCCCCTCGCTGCTAACAATGTTCAGCGAGTTAATGGAGCTACCTATGCTGCTATTGCAACGTGTAGAAATCAAAATACTAACCAACGTAGTTCTAACGGAAATTTTGACAATTTTGACTTTGGAAGCATTACTGCTCCTAAAATGGAATTTTTACAGAATTCATTAATTGACATGATTTCTGATATGCTTAAATCTAACTCCATGTTTGATGCTATTGAAACTGGAGTAAATTTGTAAATAATATTGTCTAGTGCTTTAAAATTCAGTAATGGATTTTAAAGCACTAGACATTTTAAATTGGAATGCTCGATCTCTTAAAGATAATGAAGACGAGCTATTTGACTTTTTGAGAGTTCATAACGTGCATATTGCCGTTATAACTGAAACGTTCCTTAAACCTGACCATAAGGTTAAGAAGGACTCAGATTATTTCATTTATAGAAATGATCGTCTTGATGGACCCTGTGGTGACGTTGCCATCATTGTTCATAGACGAATCAAACATAAAATTCTTTCTTTATTTGAAACCAAAGTTTTTGAAACTTTCGGAGTTTCTGTTGAAAAAAAAAATTTGGACAACTTACGTTTATAGCTGCCTATTTGCCATTCCAATGCGTATTTTTTTTCCTTTGGTTTGTTTTTTCCGTCGATCTTGTTTTCCGTGCTGAGCACGAATGCTACCGACGTGCCAGGAAGGCAGCTCCCACACCTGGACCCTACCTATCGACCCATCAACTCATGAACCGGGGACCAACGGCTTTACTTCCCATCCGAAGGAAGGCGTGATCAGAGATGTTATGCCTCAGAACATCCCAGTGGTACCGACTGGGATTGAACCCAGGCCTACTGGGGTGAGAGGTAATCACGCTTACCACTACACCACCGGCGCCGTTATTCCAATGCGTAGGCCAGCAAAAGAATTTTCTCAATGGTGACATTCAGAAACTTACCCGTCATAGGTCTAAATTCTACATTATTGGTGATTTTAATGCAAAACACCGCTCAAAACACATCGGATACAGGAGAAGATCGACGCGACTCTCCGACGACAGTAGGCAGGATTCCGTGCTGGAAGATCCTGTGTGGACCATATTGTCACGCTCCACATCATCTTGGAGCAGGTCAATGAGTTCCAAGAGTCCCATGTATTCATCGACTACGAAAAAGCTTTCGACCGACTAAACCACGAAAACTTGTGGGGCGCTCTGAGACGCAAGGGAGTCCCTGATAAGATCGTCAACCTCATCGCAGCGCAGTACGAGGCTTTCTCATGCAGAGTGTTGCACAACGGCGCTTTGTCTGACCCGATTCGGGTAATCGCGGGTGTGAGGCAAGGATGTATATTATCACCGCTACTGTTCCTCATCGTAATCGACGAGATTATGATTGGAGCCGTTGACCGTGTACCGAACCGTAGGTTGCTGTGGCAGCCTATTACCATGGAGCATCTCAACGACTTCGATTTGGATGATGATGTTGCATTATTAGCACAACGAACGCTCTGACATGCAGAGTAAGCTCGACGACCTTGCGGAACGCTCCTCTGAAGCAGGTCTAACCATCAACAAGACCAAATCGTTGGATGTCAACACGGAAAACCGTTCCAATTTCACGATAGCTGGGCAGGCAGTGGAGAAAGTCGAAAGCTTCCAATGTCTTGGCAGCCATGTAGCGTCGGACGGCGGCACCAAGAGTGACATAGGTGCACGGATTAAGAAGTCGAGGGCTGCTTTTGCCAGTTTGCGAAATGTATGGAGAGCGAATCAGATCAGTCGACGCACCAAAATCCGAATTTTTAACTCGAACGTGAAGTCTGTGCTGTTATACGCCAGTGAAACATGGTGTGTATCAGCGGAGAACACTCAGAAGCTGCAGGTGTTTATCAACCGATGCCTGCGGTACATAATTCATGCCTGGTGGCCCTACAATTGGATCTCAAATTCCGAGCTTCATCGTTTGTGCCATCAGAAGCCTATAGAGACAGTAATTCGTGAACGGAAGTGAAGGTGGGTCGGCCACACACTACGACGGAACGGAAACGAAATCTTCAAGCAAACACTGGACTGGAATCCAGCTGGACATCGCAGCAGAGGCAGACCCAGAGGCTCGTGGCGGCGGAGCCTTACTAGTGAAATTAAGAACGTTGACCGAAATTTGACTTGGGCACAGGTCAAGGGCAAAGCTAGTAATCGCCCAGGATGGACATCTTTCACAAAGGCCCTTTGCACCCCTCGAGGTGCGCAGGATCGTTAAGTTAGTAAGTAAGTGGATAAGAGCATAATTTACATTTTAAACAATAATGTGGAATAAACTGACTTACCATCGCAATAACTTCAGAAAAATCTTTGTTCAGATCATCTATAACGAATGGATATCCATTTTGTTGTGATGCATTTTTCAAATGAGTTGAATTAATCTGAAATAGAAAAAAACAAAATTAATTGTAAATATACTAAACATTGTTAAACGCAAAAGTAATACAGCTTTATCATACAACTTCTATTAAAATTCAACAAATTTGTATGGTCTAAATCAACCAATCACGAATGCTTTTATGAGCATTATTGACCGTTTGGGTTGCTACACTGTTATTGGCAGGTCTCCTGCCATTACGATTACACTCATAGCGAATTTGTTTATTTTACAGTTCCAACCTGGATCGGATATCAAGATCGACTCTGCATGCTTTCTGACAAACGTCAGTTTGATCGTTTGTTTTTAAAACCTACCTCAGTTTAAGGTTCGCACTTACAAAAAGTTCGGTTTCGCGCTGGGTTGGAACTGGTTCCAACTCCGATAATAAACAAATTCGCTATTAGTGTTTACACATTTGGGATAATTGCTAGACCCAAGTATCATCTGTTGGTTTTCTGTGCTGTGCATACACAGATGATAAATGTGTAAACACTCTCAGACTTAACAATAGGTAATTCCAGCAATTGATGAACGTATGCTGTCAGTTTTGATCTCATCCTCTAGTAGCCACGTCTGTCATACTAATAACCCGAGCAAAGGATTATACCAAATTGATACCAATGTCTGATACCCGGTTATCAAGATTTTCAATTATCATTGTGGTTGAATAAACAGACAACATACAAAATTTATAACAAAAAAATACTCCTTGAATATCACAAAAAATAACTGATTTATTTATCAATGAAAACATCCTGATAACAACAGAAATATGATTGGCAATTTTTTTTTTGAGTATAGGTAATTACATCGAGAGATTTCAAACTACAAAACGATGCGTTTTCATGATTTTCAAGGCATTTTAAAAATCGATTCCAAACTGATAACGGGGAAAACGCCTGATTCATGGTGCACTACAACATTTGGGCAAGACGAACGACAACAATGGCCACAACATTGGGGTAAAATGCACCGCATGAAAGAAACCATGCCATGCAAGTAGAGAATACAAAGACATGAAGTATTTCAAATGATTATTCCTGTATATTACATCAGAAATAAGTTTTCAATAGAGTGTTAAATTGTTATTCATAAAGTAAAACATCTAAAAAATATACAAAAAGTAATTCGTTCCATTCTTTTGCGATTTATGTTGTTACAAGCTTAATTTGTAGTCGATGATTTTAGCAACTGTGTCATAAAACAGCAAAAGGGTTTATCTTCCATTTAATTCCACTTAATTAATTTTGGTATCCATGACAGATACGTATTTCGACTACAATGTGCAGTCTTCATCAGTGTCATTCCCACTAAAGAACTTATCAAAATCTAACCCCCTTAAGTACTCATCCCCTAGGTAAAAAAGTCAAGATCATAGGTATAAAAATGAAACTACAATGTGTTGAATCGGAACCTACCTAACTAATAAAAACCAAAGATTTAAGTAAGCTAAAGGAGAAAAATCTATACAAATCTCTAATAAGGAAAATCCCCAAAGGCTTGGTAGCCATCATAATGAAGTAATGAAATTGGGTTGTTAGCGGAATGCTAAATAAAACAGCAAAAGGGTTTATCTTCCATTTAATTCCACTTAATTAATTTTGGTATCCATGACAGATACGTATTTCGACTACAATGTGCAGTCTTCATCAGTGTCATTCCCACTAAAGAACTTATCAAAATCTAACCCCCTTAAGTACTCATCCCCTAGGTAAAAAAGTCAAGATCATAGGTATAAAAATGAAACTACAATGTGTTGAATCGGAACCTACCTAACTAATAAAAACCAAAGATTTAAGTAAGCTAAAGGAGAAAAATCTATACAAATCTCTAATAAGAAAAATCCCCAAAGGCTTGGTAGCCATCATAATGAAGTAATGAAATTGGGTTGTTAGCGGAATGCTAAATAAAACAGCAAAAGGGTTTATCTTCCATTTAATTCCACTTAATTAATTTTGGTATCCATGACAGATACGTATTTCGACTACAATGTGCAGTCTTCATCAGTGTCATTCCCACTAAAGAACTTATCAAAATCTAACCCCCTTAAGTACTCATCCCCTAGGTAAAAAAGTCAAGATCATAGGTATAAAAATGAAACTACAATGTGTTGAATCGGAACCTACCTAACTAATAAAAACCAAAGATTTAAGTAAGCTAAAGGAGAAAAATCTATACAAATCTCTAATAAGGAAAATCCCCAAAGGCTTGGTAGCCATCATAATGAAGTAATGAAATTGGGTTGTTAGCGGAATGCTAAATAAAACAGCAAAAGGGTTTATCTTCCATTTAATTCCACTTAATTAATTTTGGTATCCATGACAGATACGTATTTCGACTACAATGTGCAGTCTTCATCAGTGTCATTCCCACTAAAGAACTTATCAAAATCTAACCCCCTTAAGTACTCATCCCCTAGGTAAAAAAGTCAAGATCATAGGTATAAAAATGAAACTACAATGTGTTGAATCGGAACCTACCTAACTAATAAAAACCAAAGATTTAAGTAAGCTAAAGGAGAAAAATCTATACAAATCTCTAATAAGGAAAATCCCCAAAGGCTTGGTAGCCATCATAATGAAGTAATGAAATTGGGTTGTTAGCGGAACCCTTTTGCTGTTTTATTTAGCATTCCGCTAACAACCCAATTTCATTACTTCATTATGATGGCTACCAAGCCTTTGGGGATTTTCCTTATTAGAGATTTGTATAGATTTTTCTCCTTTAGCTTACTTAAATCTTTGGTTTTTATTAGTTAGGTAGGTTCCGATTCAACACATTGTAGTTTCATTTTTATACCTATGATCTTGACTTTTTTACCTAGGGGATGAGTACTTAAGGGGGTTAGATTTTGATAAGTTCTTTAGTGGGAATGACACTGATGAAGACTGCACATTGTAGTCGAAATACGTATCTGTCATGGATACCAAAATTAATTAAGTGGAATTAAATGGAAGATAAACCCTTTTGCTGTTTTATTTAGCATTCCGCTAACAACCCAATTTCATTACTTCACAACTGTGTCATGTTTTGCACAAAATGTTTTTTTTTTTTTAGGAATTAGTAGGTCAATATATGATTTCATGATCAGGAATTATTTGACAATCCTTCAGTTAAAAACAAACACAATCCGTTACCCAGAAAATTCATCTCAGGAATATCAAGGAAATGTTTTTTTTTTTTTTTTCTTTAAGTGGGCATTTTACCCCAGGGGTGCATTATGGGCTGTTCTCCCTTGATATGGAAAAGTAATGACATTTGTTTTCGACACAGTTATCATTCATACATGGGTTGATACTGAATCATGCATGCATGCATGCATCAGAACCATGGTCCGAACCTTTTCTTGTTTCCAATCTCAGTTCCACGGAAACGTCTAAAACCGTGACTTATAAAAGTCAACAAGAAGAGCTTTGGACTATACATTTGTTGTATCTCCCGTAAATATAAGTTCTATTTCCTGACATTTTCAAAAACCACGGTCACTCATAGACTGAGTAAATGTTTTCTCGAATATGATTAAATATCACTCACATTGAAGAGAGCGCGATGATCAAGCAATAACCGGGACGGTCGGATTCGAATCGTTTGCTTTGTATTTTTTTAATGTTGCTTGCTCTTTTCATCAGAGTTTTTTGGATGTACAGCCAACTTTCTATACCTCGATATTGAAGGGGCCACCGAGATACCGGGAGACTGACATTCAGAACGGTAATTTATTACCCTACTAGTACTGTTCTAGAAGTACTTCGGCTTCATAAAGTGTATTTGATTATACCGTATCCAAAGCAAAACTCGATCGTTTAAGTCAAAATTAGAGAAAAAAAAAGAAACTAGTGAACTCCATTTCCATGGAGAGTTGTTCGTTCCCGTACATATTCTAGGAACCGTCGACATAGCGCTAAGCTAATCTCATAAAGGGTGTATTCGTGAATTATTTTTTTTGTGTGTCTTTATTAGAGATATTTTTAGCCGTTGGCTAGTACATCTCTAAAAAAGGGGGGGAGGTCCTCCTGCAAATTAAGTTATGGAGTTGGCTTACAATTCACATGTACTCAAATAGAATCAATTGAAACAGATTCCAGTAAAAAGACTAACAATACAGGCATCGAAAAAAAAAGCAATCTGGTACATCTAAGTTATGTAAGGTTCTGAAAGAGATCGGAGCTTAAACGTAGGAGGGGTAATCCCTCGTCCGGCAAAGATGTTCCGTCAGCCAAAAGAAAGTTAAAAGGACCTAAATGTTGTTGTATAGCCTAGCGTCCTTGAGGAAATAAATAACTGTCGCTAAAGTAGAAGGTTCGTCGCCCAGTAGTCCCTAATGCTGTTGGGAAGTGCGTACTGCTCCCGTAGATGTTGGTATTGCGGACACAGGCATAGGATGTGTTCCACGGATGCAGTGGTTCTGCAAACGTAGGACATTCTGTGAGATTCTTGTATGGCCTGTCCCAAGACGAGAAACCACCTTCTGGTCCCGTAGTTTCGACATATCCGTCCACTTGCTCGTCGTTCCTTTGATTCTTCGGATAGAGAGGGATTGGGATTGGCACAACTCTGCTTCCCAGGCTTCCCACATTTTGCTGACTATCCATCGCTTTATGTCCTGTAGTGGCACTTCGTCGGTGTAACGGGGGCCAGCTGGTCCAGACCCTGCCAGGCTGTCGGCTTCGATATTTCCTAGGATAGCACAGTGCCCAGGGATCCAGGTGTACACCATGTTCGGGGGTGTGGCCTCCACGATACCCTGTATCCAGGGGTGAGTCGGGGTTTCAGATGTAAGGGCTTGTATCACGCTGTACGAATCGGATAGCACCAGTATGGGCCAGTCCGAGGGTGTTGTAACGGCAAGTAAGATGGCCGCAGCTTCGGTGGAGAAAACCGAGCATTGTGGTGGTAGGCTGCTACTCATCGGTGCTGAAATTTCGGCTACACCAAGACCGTACAGTAGGCGACTATCGATGACGGCACTTGCAATCCGGAAACGAGTGTCGCAATTGTTAG